GCTGGTTGGGTGAGGCATACTAGGCGGTATGCTACTTACATCAACAGTTTTCTTAAAGGAACTAAAAAAAAATGGAGGCTGCAGTGGGTGCAGTAATACTAGTTGCCTGACTGGCATGCTGATTCAATGGCTTCAATGCTTTTTAAGGCTCTGAGCTGAAACAAGTCTGCAGTTCAAGTGGGAAGCAGCTATGCTCAGTAAGCAGAGGGTGGAAGAGGAGGAAGTGGCTGAAAGGGATGCTCTGTGGCTGGGGTGGCTCTTACACACACACACACACACACACATACACACACACACACACACATACACACACACACACACACACTTTACCTGGTGCCCCCCACTCTGCACATTGTATTGAGAGTGTCAGGCACTCACCCACATGTGGATGCTGTCCATGCAATCATAGGCTCCCCTGCGTTGTCTGAGGAACATGTTGAAGGCAGAAAATTCAGTGCAGCACACTGCTGTGCATACACCTAATACTGGCAGGCTGGTGCTTGGCGTCAGAACCAACTACCGGTCTGTGCAGTATATGGAGTTCTATACCACCACATGGCTGCATATACGTCCAGCAAAAGTGCCCCCCGGCTTGCTTAGTTACAGGGGGATGAGGGAAAGAGGATGGGGGAAAAGGGTAACAGAAGAAAAGTGGGGCAGGGTAAAAGGGGGTGTAGGGGTGTAGTTTTGTCCAAGGAGCTCTCCTGAGCCTCCCCCATATAGCTGCAGAAGCTCTTAGTCAGAACTCTGTCCTCAAGCAGCCCGACCTGCCTCTCTCCCCACCGGGCAAGGCCAGAGCTGCAGCATCTGAATGACCAAGCAGGTGAGGTCTCTGTTGAAATTAAGAGGGAGGGAGTAAATGTGACAGTGTAGAAGGGGTCAGGAGAGCTAAATCAAAGTGAAGATGGAGTGATGCTGAAGGAGCCAGGAGAGGCTCCCATCCCAAATGCACCTCCTGCAGCACAGCGCCCAGAGTGTATGCATTTTCTGCCTCTGCCTGCCCCTCTTTAAAAAATGATATATTAGAATCGCTGACTGGGCTATAAAAACAAGATATGCTATATGTTCCTTAAGCAGATGTTACACTTGTAGATAAATACTCTATTTTAAGGACCAGCGAACCACCTATTTTCATTGAGCACGTATAGTGCACACATGTTCTTTATACATTGGAACTTCTTCTTTTGCCATAGTGAGATAGAGCCCACCAATTTCTGCTGCTTTTAACATTTTTTCATTGTTCAGCTGTTCATCCGTGCACTTTGCCCAGTCTGCAAGAACGGCATGATGTATGACCCTTATTAGGGACCTATCTTTTAAGGTTCTGTTAAAGAAGAAAAATTACCTTGTCCCATTTTCTAAAGCAGACTGTTTACATCAGGGACATCAGAGACAATGCTAAACTGGCTGGCTCATTTAAGCTAGGCTATAGCTATGCACTACTTGTCACAACATCCTACTAAAGAGACCCTCGGCTGTACTTTCAACATTTTAACTATTTAAGTTTGGTATTACAAATGTACTGTATAGACACACTTTTCGTAAGTTGATTCAGTTTTCAGTTGGTTCAATACCTGTTTCCCATCCTGCTTCTTCTCCACATCCTCAGTGCTTTGATGACGCTGTTTGACTACCCTGGAAGCTAGCATCCTGAGACCAATCTAGTAATATGAATTCACATACTCTGGTTCCACTGCATCAGCTGTTAACTATTGCAAAAATGTTGGGATATGGAAGATCAAAAGTGAGTTGCATACATAAAAGCCATTGTGTCCTGATGTCCTTTTCCGTGCTTAGGATAGACACGAATCACTTTTATTTTGGTGTTACACAGTTTAAAATGCATACAGTATTTTGCACAAAGAATCTGCATCCTTGGTTATAAATCTTTAACTTTTGCCAAACTGACTTTAATAGTTAGACTCTGCTTGTTCCAGACATAAATAAGGCTTTGTGGCTTCAGGCAGAATGTGATTTATCATTTCAGCAGTGATCAGTGTAATGTATCCGTATCTTCTTGTGGGAGCAAAGATTCAATGTAATTGCAGTGATTATTTTAACTGCCTTTCGAGAACTATACATTATTTTATTTGGCCTTATGCTTTTATGTCTTTAGACATCACACTTTCAAATTTTATTGGTGACGGACTCGGGAACAAAATTGTATTTATTGTGCAGTGGTAATACATTGTTTCACACACTATTACCTTTAACTTAAAGGAAGAGTGTAGTGTATTTTGAGATACTATTGCAGTGTTTGTTCCAAAATCATTTCTGATATGTCTAAGATATTTTTACAAGCTATATTATAATTTCCTTACCACATCCAGAGAGGTTTAAAATACAAGCACCAAATGCACAGTGATTTGCTAATACATGTTTGGATTTGGTGGGCATTTCCATAAGTTTTAAAAAACCATTAATAAAATATTTTTAACTGTAGGCACTTTATTTGTGAAAAGTTCAATGCATAGAAGAGACAATAATTCCATAGGTATTCCCAACTTTAAGCAATGATAGTAATAATGGACAGTTTCTGATTACCTAATAGCAGACTCCTCTATCAGATAGTCACTCGCTATTGCACAGAGTTCTAGCTTATTGGAACATCTTTATGTGAGCGTGGCCATTCCTTCATTCTTTTATGGAACAGAGGGAAAGATTGAAATGCTGCATGGTTGCCACTGCCGGCTTTCATGCAATGCTAGGGAACAAAACTGCCCAGTTATACCGTCTATAGAAATCCATAGACATAAGATGATTGTTGATAACATAATGTATATGGGTGGCCTTCACGTTTCCCGACAAGCCACTATGGAGGGGGCAACCAATCAACTGGTTAAGAAAACTTGGTCTGATTGCTGTTGTCCTCTGAAAAGCTATAACAAGCAACCTCTATTTGGCTACCTCCTTCCCTCTTGCTCTCTTCCTGAAAACCACAGGACTGAAAAATCCTACTTAGTTCTGCCTTGCTATGTAATGTTTATAAGTCGGCTGGGGAGTTGTGTTTTCCATAATTAACCCTGTCTGCACTGTATTGGCAGATTTCATTATCACTTGTGACCTAAATATACAGGACTGTCTGTCCTAACAAAGGGCTAAAGATCTCAAGACATTGTAAGTTAATGAACTGTCTGTCAGTCTTGTCCCTCCAGTCTGTACCTTATCTCTACACTGTCATCTTTTCCAAGCAGTAGAAGCTCTTTATATAATCCTGCTCCAAACAAACTACTACAAAGGTAAACATTTTGTTTTTATTATCTTTTGGAATGCTGTGTGAATGGGAAACGGGGTTCTCAAATTTGATGGAAATACACTTTAAAGCCATGGGTTTCAATTGGTGGGTCCCAACCCCCATGTTCATTTTGTCACCGCGTACTTTCCACTGTGCTAGGTGAGAGGCTCCTCAGCCTCCCCTAGCGCAGCACTGTCAGTTCTCCTTCCCGAGTGTCAGCTTGAGATGGAGTGGGCTGGGTGTATGACCGCGAGGGAGCTCCATCCATACATGCATTGGTAACAGCTCCCTTATCTGTTCTGTAGAAGTGCCTGGGCCTAAGTGATGTCACATTCTGATTTCCAGCACCTCTAAAGGGCGTGCAAGGGAGCTGTACAAGCAATGCACATAGAGATGGATCTCTGTCACAGCACAGCAGCCCACAGTGGACCCCAGGCTGAGGATCCATTCCAGTTATTGTAAGGTAGGGAGACTGGGTTGATGTTTAAAAAAAGAAAAAAAAATGTATGTGTGAGAATGTCTGTGAGTGTGTGAGATTGTATCTGTGGTTGTGTGTGTCTGTCAGTGTTTTTGAGGGCCCATTCACAGAAGTACAGTGCGTTAATCACACAGCCCCATGCAATTAACGGCCGCAATCATCGTTTTCGCAGGTATGCGCACCATGCCTTGGGGCAGCAGGGACTAGAGGGACAGCACAGCCGCCAAGCGGGTAGATGTTTTTTTATCCCCCTTTGAACATGCCTCAGGCGATAGAGAACCTGTCACCTCCAAATGCTATCACAAAGCGGCTTTTTAGCTCTTGTGTGATTATCAATAAAGTAAATTGGAAAAAAAAATTGATAACATTTGATAAAAAAGTTAAAAAATTATAAAATTATTAAAAAGTTTTAAAAAAGTAAGAAATAATAAAAATAAATAAAGTGATTAAAAAAGTAAAACATTATAAAATAAAACAATTATAAAACGATAGTAAGACAAATAAAAATGTAAAATATAGTTTTAAAAAAAGTGATAAAGTAAAAACAAAATTAAAACCAACCCTGCCGCCCCCGCCTTCTGGTTGCCATTCTTCATGGGGGGGGGGTTTGGCGGGTAGTGGGGCGCAGTGAGGAGCCTGGCCTTGGGGCAGCAGAGAGTATAAATCCGGCCCTGGAAGTATGATACCTAATTTTATTACAGTGCATTTCTTTGGGCAATGCTTTGGGACCATGACAGACTGGCTTTGAGGAAATAAACATGCTGATTTACTAAAGGAGTGGAGAATTTTCACTCAAATTGAATTTGCTTCAATTATTTAATCATGTGCAAAGCAAATTCCGGTTCACCTTGAATACCCAATCATGAAATTATTAAACAAGTATTTGCTTTTCACATGATTTGATAAGATTCACATGATTAAAGTGAATAATCACACACTTTATTGAGTGATGATTCTTTTCTCCTTTAGTAAATCAGAAGAGCATGTGACACTCCAGATCACTGAGGTACAAGGCCGTTTGTTTTTTTACAAACTATTAACTTTATTAATCATTGGAGGAAACAACCCCATGCAGATCAATGCTTCCCAGCTTCTTACAATGTCTGCATTCATCAGAGTGGTTAAAGTGTAATCAATAAATGCATATCGCAACCTATAAGAAACTTTTCTCCTACAGATTACACCAATGATCTTTTATGTCACATACAGGACCCTTTAAATGGATCATACTTCGGTCATCTTAGTTTAATCATTCAAATTTATATCCTCAAAGAAGAAATGTGCTCGAGTTAACTCAAAATTTTAACCAAAAAGTAGAACTATAATAAATAGTCTGAACTGTGATTTTTTTTACAGAAATAGAACTTAAAACAGTGTAGCGTGGAATCAAATTTTTCACTTGGTCATCAGGGAGAGACGAACAGCCATTCAGACACAATCGAGTCTGCACATAGTTGGGATTTTAAAAATGCAAGCGGTCTCATTCCTGGGGATCACATCAGGCCAGTGACAAGTTCACACAGAAGTTAAGAAGACCACCGCTGCATTAATGCAATGCTTCAGTTCCTGGGCTGTGCTGCACTGCAACTCTGTAGTCTTCATTGATCAACAGTCTTTGGACTACAGCAATACTCCGCGATTACTGAATGGCTTTATATTGCTTATAGCTCTTCCCGCTCCTCCTCATTGCAGATACAGGATGCTCTTTGGCTATTCATGAAAGGTCTACATCCCAGGGTCCAGACTGTGTTGAAGACTGTGTCGGCCATTGCTTCACAGGCTATAGGGAGAAAGAATAAATTACATAAACAAAGATTTGATACAACAGAAGCTGATTACAGCTTACAGGCGCAATCCAGCACCCTACAGAGCAATAAAGTAATAGAAAAAGAACAAACAAGGTTTTATAGAGCAAATACAATCTGATAGGTTTGCCTTAACTATGGGTGTCCCTAACCTTTTCACCGCCTGAACATGGTTGCCAGGAGCTGGGGTGGAATGCCAGCCAGAGCCTCCCCGTTTGCTAAGAGCTGTGTGGGAAGATGGGCTTGGCCCTTACACATCTCCCTACCTGGCTCTAAGCAACCTGGGCTATAATATCTGTCACCAATAAAAAAAACTGCAGATGAGAGGAACAGAAAAATCAAGAAGAGTCGATTCCCTGGCACAGCCCCCTCTGTACACTTTATATCCTTCTCCTTATCTGGGAGTGTATTGTTTTTTCTCAACAAAAGTGGAATTACACTTTAAGGTTAATCTACAGCCAAACCTTTTTTTCTCATTTTGGATAGAGTAGAGAAGGGTCAGTTTTTTGCCATCTGTGTCCCACTGGGGAGATTTCCCTTCACTTATACTCCTATAACCACATCAGAAAGCAGGAGGCAACGTCTCCAAATTCAGGTAAATGTGCTAATAGAGGGATGCCAGCAGAACAATTGTCCCTACTGTTCCTGTTCTAGTGGCAAACATTTTGGATGTTCTATCACTTTCAGTCCTGGTTACCAATAGAGAAGGTGAATCTCCCTAATGCCGACAGACAGCACAAAAAACCAAATGCAGACAGACCGCAAAACAACCTGACAGGGACTCTAACCCCTCACCAATGATTCAAATAGACTTCAGATACACTTTAAATATGTATTTTAAACTAAAGGATAATTTATACATAATTTTGGAACATGTGGCTTCACAAACATTACAGGGAAAGAGATAAGTATGAGCTTACCTTCAACTTTGGAGACGAAGCCCAAGCTTTTCTTGAGGTCGGAGCAAATGGAATGTAGACACCAGCGAAACTTTGCATCACATCGGTACTTGTTGGCTCCACAGGTGTCATAACAAATATCGAGCTGGTTACAGCATTTTGTCATTGCAGGGATACCCATATCTAACTGGAAAGAAGAAGAAAACCTGCTGAGTGACAGACAGAACAATTTTTAGAATAAAAAACTGCTACTAAGGATACATTTTCCTCTGTGTGCTTATAGAGATAAATTAAAGGTGACAAGTTGCTTTATATCATGTAAAGGCTCCAAAACATAAATAATAAATAATTAGAAAATGCTATTGTTTGTGTTGATTGCCACTGAAATACTGCTGCTAAAATTTTGAATATCCCTGTTATAATCTTTTATTATTATTTTTTTTAGGTTGGTTTAGTGGGGAGTATTCATTTACTGTCAGCTATTTATTGCCATTTGTATCCTTATTAGGGAAATTCCTCAGTTGACCACATATAGGGACAAAGGCAGCACAACATTTATCAGAAACAGGTGGTGCTAAGTTATCCAATTTCTTAATTAACCCAGCAGATTTGAAATGGACGCTTTTGAAAGTATAAACCAGAAATTCTCCATAACATGACCTGGTCATGCAAGTCTGTGGACACCTTTAGGCTGAACATATATGCTTAAAGTAAGAAGCCCCGATTTTAACAAACATGCATAGGGTTGGCCAAACCTGACCTATGAAGACTTTCTTGGCTCAAGGCAAACTTTCAGAATAGACAGGAGGCAACTGGAATGACCACAACATTTCTAAATATATACATAGCTGATGCAACACATTGCACCCCAATCACAGCCAATTGCAGACAAATGAGGTTGCAAACATCTTAATCTGCTGAAAAACGGGCCCATAAATTAAAATTTTTACTATGACACAAAAAGTGTGATTATCCTTTGCCATCCACTTGAGAAATAATCACTAGGACATCAAAACAAACACTATGGGGGGAATTTATCATGGCAATTGCGAGTGTTTGAACTTGCATGGAATATATTTGCACCAGATTTATGATGCTAGCGTAAAGTTGTTTATAAATGAGGTTTAATAGACTCCAGGAAAGAAGACTTCTAACTTCAGGCAAAAAGCTTAACTGTCTCTTCTTGAAGAAATGGTCATGGGGACTTCTTAAGTTGTGATTGTTTTCTTAGGTGATGCTCCAGTTTTAGACAGCCCCAGAACAAGTGCAGATGAAAACAGGTGCAAAAAACGTGCAGTTGAAAAAGTAGTGCAAGCTCTGGTCAAAATAGGTGCAAAACACGTGCAATTGGAAAAGTAGTGCAAGCTCAGGTAAAAACAGGGGCACATGTTAAAAGACAGATTTGCACATAAACAAATGATCTAAGAGGCTAAAACTGTCGTAATTGTTTTGATAAATCCCCCCCTATTTGTTTTTCTTGCTCAGCTTGAACCCTCTTAAGAATGCCAAAGCGTGTCTGTCCCTTCCTGTACAATCCTTTTTAGGGATGCACCGATACCGATACAAGCATCAGTATCGGCGGCGATACCGATTATTTGCATGAGTACTCGTGCAAATACTCCGATACAAAATTTTGACCAATAGGGATATATAAGGGGCAAGAGGTAGCAGCAGGATCTGACACTACCCAGCTTGGTTGTGATGAATCTGAGCTTGCATTTACACCTGAGTGACAGTGCTCTCACGCGTAAAACACACGGTTTGGGTAGCACTTTCTTTCATGGTTTTGCGCATTTTTGTACATTTTTACATGCTTAAAACACACGTACTTACAGTCACATGTTTTTTGGAGCAGATCATGACACATTGATATGAATGGACAACTGCACGTTTCACACGCATAAAACGTACATTATTGAGCATTTCTATTGAAGTCTATGGGGCCAAGAAGCACAGAATTTGCCAAAAAGAAGCTCAAGTACTTTCTTAAAGCAACAGGTGTTTTGCCACAAGTGACAAAGCGTTTAGGCGTGAACATGGCCATAGAAATGAATAGGGTTTTTTGGGCGGTTTTTTTTTTCTGCTCGAAAAAAACCGCTACAAAACCCTCAGTGTGAATGAGGCCTGAAGGCTCTATGTTGGTATCTGCAGTCAGCTTGTCCAATAATTAACTGGTAATGCATACATTTAAAAAAGATCTTTTTGGTACTCAACTTTGGCTTTTTCAATATCAAAAACCTTCTATGTTTGTTGGAACCTCACTATAGGGCAGGGCTCAAAATTTCCACTCGCCCGCTCGCATTTGGCGAGTGGAAATAAAGAGAGGGCGAGTGGAAATTCAGTCAGGCACGCGGTCACGGATCGCGTACCTGACTATGAGAGCAGCCGCTCCTTGCTGTCCTGTCCTGGCTCCGTTACTTTCGATCGATCACCGGAGCTCTGACAGTTCTGAGCCCCGTTCGCAAGGATGGATTACTAAGGTGCAGAGAACTGAGCTCAGAACTGCAGAGCTCCGGCCGAAAAGGAAATGCTTGTTTCCTCCCTGCATTGGGTATTGATTGTTTAGCTGCAAGAAAATGAAAACATTCTAGTTCATATTGGTATTTGTTCAGTTTTGGTATGTAGCAAGGCCCAATATCTTGTGCAATTGTCAGCTGAATAGATAGCATAGAGGAGCAAGGATCTTTGAAAAATAGAAATACTAGTCTGTTGAATCACAGACTTTCTATGTCTCTGGTGGTGAGATCTCTGCCTTTTGCTTCTCAGTTCTGTCTACCTCCTTAATCTATTTTCTGGATTGTCATGTGATTTATATTTTATAGAATGCAGCGGGAGCAGTGGGACACACAACACCAGCGGGTGATCCAGTTTCTCAATCCACCAAAAATGTAAGAAAAAACTGTTTTGGGTGCACTGATTCTTTAAAATGGAAAACCCATTGAAAAATGAAGATATTTGAAATATATATTTTCAGCAAGGATATTATTTTCATTCTACGGAGGAATTAAAAACCTGACAAAGTTAAGCCCGTACCCTTTTTCCCCATTATCCATGTACAACAGTGCACAGAAGGCATTTAATGAGAATTAGAACTGTAGTTGTTTCTGAATTCTCTTGAAATAACCTAAGGGTAACCATTTTAGATTTATATGTGGTATATAGATAAATACTATATGTATGTTAATTTTCACCAATAAAAGGATTGAAATCCTTTTACATTTTTTATTTTCAAATAGGCATAGGATTCACGCTCTTAGCTCGTATCGATAACTATTGATCAACTTGAGCTTCAGTGGCCAACGCCATCTCTGGTTGACCTTTGATGTCAAGTTTAATAAATATTTTATATGACTGCATAATTCCTATATATACAAACTATATTCATGAAGTAAACTGCCACATGCAATAAGTCATCTGCCCGTGAAGGCTGCAGATGAAAAATGGCATACAGCCCTCCCACTGCGATCTATGTGTATTTCACAAAATCAATGCAATCTGCTCCTCAGTCCATACTGCAGAAGCATTAATCATTACTCTTAGCAGCCAGACCAATAAGATTCCTCTTCCTTGTAAAAAAACCACATGAAATACTACTTTAAACCTGGACAGACAGGACCAATAGGAAGAATACTGAAATTCCCCAGAAAAATTAGAAAGAAAATAGACCTACAAACAAATGTAAAATAAATGTTATAAAATTCAAAGAAAGATTTTAGTAGGTAGAAAAACCCTAACTGGATGATATTTAATTTGCAAATCTGCTGGGCATGTTAACAATTGTTATGGGGTTTTTTAATAGGTTCTCCCTCTTTTGCATTGTTAATGCATTTCAGCAGTAACACTGGCAGAGCCGCTAAGAAAAAGAAGCATTGTAAAATTGCACTGAAACAATTGTCAACCCAGCGCCATTTTAAAACAGCAACCTGGGGAGATAGATAGCTAAGCACTTGTATGGTATTTCGTTCAATGTAAACTTGTATACACACCAATCATCCAGTCCAATACAGGGGAAAATCTGAATGTATTCACATGGAGATTAATGAGAACACAGGGTAACTTCATCTCAAATCATTCTATAGTAAATCGACCGAGAATCACTTCACACTCTAGAAGTTGGGCCCACATTATCCCGCACATACCCTTAGTAGTTTTTAGTATACAGAATTATGCCTACATCGTCCCACACACATATCTCCCAACTTTATAATTTGGATGGACTGTCATTTGGAACCAAAGCCCTCTGTCCCTCTTTCCTCCTCGGTTGTCCAATGTACAGATATCTATGAAAAGGTACTAAGGTAAATTATGCCTCCATCGTCCCACACGTATATCATTTGGAGGGACTGTCCCTCATTTGTAGCCAAAGCCTTCTGTGCCTCTTTCCTCCCCCATATTTCCATTTTTTTGGTCCAATGTAGGGATATCTATGAAAAGGTAACTACTAAAGTAAATTATGCCTCCATCGTCCCACATGTATATCATTTGCAGGGACTATCCCTCATTTGTAACCAAAGCCTTCTGTGCCTCTTTCCTCCCCCATATTTCCATTTTTTGGTCCAATGTAGGGATATCTATGAAAAGGTAAATACTAAAGTAAATTAGGCCTACATTGTCCCACACACATACCTCCCAACTGTCTATCATTTGGAGGGACTGTTCCTCATTTGGAACCAAAGCCCTCTGTTCCTCTTTCCTTCTCTGTTGTCCCTCTTTTGCAAGTTGTCCCAATGCACAGATATCTATGAAAAGGTAAACTACTAAAAGTGTTATTCTGCACTAAAGGTTTTATCTTATCTCCTAATCATCATGTTTCCTATTTCAAAAAGCCAGTATTAAAGGAGAACTATGAGGTGAGTGAAAATCACTCATCCTCATAGTTCGAGCCGACGTGCGACTATAAAAGTGTCACATATCGGCTGAATAGATCGGGAAGTGAGCGAACGCATACCGTCGCTTGCTCACTTCTTGGTCATATCGCCGCCGGTATTCCCCCCTCCCCGCTCCGATCCTCCAGCACTGACTGAAGGAACAGACGGGGAGGGGGTGGGCACAGCTTGCTCTGCCTCTAGATAGGTAGAGCCAGCTGTCACTCACGCAGCTGGGTGGATCTCAACAGCATTGTCGGGATCCATTCCGGCTGCGGTGGTCTCAGTATACCACGAGTATGCTCGCGATATACTGAGCTTT